GTATAAGAATCTGTCAATTAGTCACGCTTAGGAATGTGAATTTCCGCCGTGCGCGCGTACGTAGATTCGTAGGAAGTCTGGCTTCACGCGCAGTCAGTAGAGCGCGCGCACGAGCGGCCTCAGTCGGGCATTAGCTGGCAGGCGCGAGGCAAAATATGCGCGTGCGCATTCCTAGTAATTTTGTGTTCCAAGCATACTTTGTGTAGGAATACATACCGAATGCGCGCATCGTTGTGGCGCTGTATAGGCCTCAAGTATAAAGGGCGGAGCCGTCGAGCGAACCAGTCGAACGCAGCGTGTATGAGTGCGAAAAGGGTCATCATGGCTGCTGTAAGCAACGTTGTATCTTGCTATTGCAGTGAAAGTTGTTCTATACTCGTGCTCTTTTAGGTGGAGTCTCTCAAGATGTTGGGCGGCACTCGTATTCCAGCGTTCGGACTTGGGTGAGTGTCATCAAAGTCAATAGCTAGCAAATACACTCAGCTACTATCCGGTTGTATAGAGCTATCTGTGAAAGAGCAAATGCACTCAGCTATATTATAGCTATATTATTTGAAAGAGCAAATGCACTCAGGCTCTACTATCTGGTGTTATCTGTGAAAGAGCTAGCTAATTTCCAGATGTTAGCTATATACAAGATGGATGACAGTAGCCTATGTCACATCTTCAAGTCATTCAATGTGCCTTCTCTAGAACATGGCAGTCAAAGCCGGGTGAAGTGGGAGCAGCAGTGGAAGTAGCTCTCAAGGCAGGCTACAGGCACCTCGACTGTGCCCACATCTACCAAAACGAGGCTGAGATTGGTGAGGCTCTCCAGAAGTGCTTCAATGAGGGTGTGTGCAAGAGAGAGAACCTCTTTGTTACTTCAAAGTTGTGGTGGGTGTAAATTAACATAATCATGACTACACTTGTAGTATGGACGTGACCTTTTTTTGCTATGAATGGTACTGAGCATTGTTGCCTGAAATAGCTGTAGTAAAATTCATTGTCCTTGTGTAGCAATCAAAACTCTTGCAAGTAGCATCATGTGATCATGGTTCCTAGGGCTGGTGACATGGAGGAGCAGTATGTGCTGCCGGCCATACAACTGACTCTGAAGAACCTGCAGCTGGACTATCTTGATCTCTACCTCATCCACTCTCCGTTTGCCTTCCGTCACAATCTGGACATGTCAAATCTTCAAGAAGTGGACAAACTTGGTTATGACGAATCACGAATTGCTGGAATATGGAAGGTAAAAGACGTAATCTGTCGTTGTAGGTTATCAAGAAAGCTATATCTCATATTTTCCCTTCATTGTGAACTCTTATGACATAGTCAAAAAGTGATACCTATAGCTAGTATGCAAACAGACTTTAAATTTGCATGACTGGTCCAGTGGACAGCGACTAGGGTGACATTATCAAATAGATTTATTCTAGCATATATGCCTTGATCATTAACCACGCGAAACACATTTTGAACGGCGTAAAACTCAATGCAGGGGATGGAAGATGTGCTGGGAAAAGGTCTGACTAGGGCCATAGGCATCTCCAACCTTACCATCACAAAGACAGAGTCACTCCTCAAGACTGCCAAGATTGTACCAGCTGTCAACCAGGTGGAGTGCCACCCTTATTTCCAGCAGAAGAAACTTAGAGAGTACTGTGATACCAAAGGTAATGATTTAGCACAATAGCTACCTGCTCGGTGTATTCACTTTATATCAAGCAAATATTCCATTCCTCACATACAGGTATTCTGATTGAAGCATATGCCCCGCTAGGTAGTCCTGCGCGGAGAGGAGTTGAGGCCACCGACCCTGTCGTTATGGACGATCCCACCATCAAAGAAATAGCCTCCAAAAAGGGGGCAACTCCTGCCCAGGTTAGGTAGTTTCATTATCCTCTCCTACTGAAAATGTGAGTCTATAATTGGTGCGTGTATCTGTTACTCTGTACAATAGTTTGTCTGCCTGGCTAAAAGCTTTATAATGTGATAGCTAGCAGATTGGTGAGACTTCCACGTCAGGGTTAAAATGAAAATTATTCGTTTTCCTCTATTTTACCTTATTCAGATCTGCATCTCGTTCCTCCTCCACCGAGGGTTTGTGGTGATTCCAAAGTCAGTGACCCCTCACAGGATCCAGGAGAACTTTGAGGCAACAAAAGTGTCTCTCACCAAGGATGAAGTTGAGGCACTGGTGGCTGTTGATAAGAACCTCCGTCTGTTCAAGAATTTCACATTATTTTTGCCTAAGGGAACCACCATTGATGAAATATTTGATGTAGAAGCAGACGAAAAGTTTGTAATTCAGAGTTAGAAAGTGTATTTTAGAGTGAAGAATTTGAGAACTGCCACACTATGCATGCATGTTGCATGCGTCTGTGTCCCATTGACTCATTGCTTGCAAGCTTTAATTGATGTCGTGAATAGATTGTTTCGTGTCTGTCATGGGTTTTGTTGGTGACACTCCCTGTGTACTTTGCTGCAAGGGGAACCTTTTTTAGTGCACTAAGATTAATCATTCGTCTACACGTAGTGGCCAATGATCATAGGACACCATGCTATTTGATGCCTAAAAGCTGCATAAAGTGGACGTGATGCTTGATGTGTTCATCCTTTTTACAGAGATGCCGAGAGCATGTGGCGCAAAAAGTCAATTTTTAGCCTTTTCCTCTTCCCCAAGAAGGCGGCTTCCCTAATAATAATTGTTGAGCGAACAAGCAATGACAGACTGACAGGTGTCCGCGACGACATCACTATCAATGCGCGAACGTCACGTGCACAGCGGATAAGCGATCGGCTTTGACGTCACGTGCACAGCGGATAAACTTTCGAAAGTTTATCCGCTGTGCACGTGACGTAGTACGGACGTTCGCGTTAGCATCATCTCTGACGTAACGGACTCAGCGCGCAGACGTCATTCATCTCGCATCACATGCCATCTGACCGTATTTATTCGCCACACACACCGCCATAATTAATCATGGCCGCGGTATTCGGAAGAACAGAAGTGCGACTAAAGAAGACGGGAGTAAGCACAACTATACCAGACTCTCCTGTTGCTAAACTGATGTATTATTTTAACTGCGTTTGCTCCTGCGTTGAGCCAGACTCGGACGCCTCAATTCGTCGCTTACGAGCCTATAAAGAAAATCACTCCAGTCTTTCGAATGAAGAGCACGCGAAGCTGCTAGTGTTATGTTTGGCTCTTAGTCCCGATAAATTGATTGGAAGCATATTTTTTCCCGCTGGAGATAATGACATTGAAAGAGACAATGATTTCTTTGAGATACAGGCGGTTAGCACGAAATTTGTTATTGCCCAATCTCTATTGGTTGGTGGACAGCAAAGAAAGGTTCGTAAAATAATGATGTTTAAAAAGCGTTGGATTGAAAAGAACTATATTAAACCATTTCGTTCGATCACTGAGGGCGGCCTACCAAGTCCACAGCGGCGAGCAAGTCCACCACGACAGAGACGACCAAATCCGCCACCACAGCGAAGACAGAGTCCGCCACCACAGCGACGGGCCAGTCCGCCACGCCAGCGGCGAGTCAGTCCGCCACCCCAGCGGCGAGCCAGTCCTCCACCGCAGCGGCGAGGCAGTCCTCTGCCGCAGCGGCGAGCCAGTCCGCCACCGCAGCGACGGGCCAGTCCACAGAACAATGCAAAGCGTAACCAGCCGAGAAGTAGATTGTGCACCATTCTGTGATTTTGATGGCGCAGTAGTGAATCGCAGCTATGTTATTTGCCTTTTAGGTGTTGATGCACTAATTAGTGCATCTATGTGCATTCATAGGTAGTGTGCATACTTTATACAAAGCTGTCTCAGCAGTGAATTTCATTCATGCATAAATTGAGAGATAACTATATAGCAGAAGGAATGCGTAGGGAGGAGAAAGGGTTTGCCCTTCAGAAGTATTGGAATGATGTAAGGTGGGAAGATGGTTTGACCTGGAAGTATAATTACCATTTTGGGGTGACACAAACAGTCAATCATCTTTTGATGCTTAGTCAATGCACCTCTCCGGGTCTCGTCCTGACGACAACGGCGGCGACAACCGACACACCCTTTGCGCATGCGCGCTTGGTAAGCGTTGCCTATTGCGCATGCGCGTGTGGGGAAGGTGGGGCCGCCGCCTCGCTCGGTCTTGCCATGGCGATCCTTCGTAATGCCCAACGAATCATGAAGTTCGTTACTAATGGACCCTCTTTCGACAGTGTAATGACGAAGGTAAAGACAACATCAGCATTGATCACTGTTTGCTCGCTAAGCTGCCTTCATTGGCAATATTATCAGGTGGAGGTGGTTGCTGCATCTCATGGTAAGTGTAGGTGTGAGGTGACGTTGGATGAGTCCCACCTCAACCGCGGGGGGTCTCTTCACGGAGGTTTCACAGCCACTCTGGTGGACAGTGTGTCCACTGTGGCTGTCATGTGTGCTGACAAACCTCCCGGAGTGAGTGTCGACATGAACATCACGTAAGTCGGATCGCTATGGATGGGGAAAGTTTGTGTGAAAAGGCTCCTACAGCATGTAACTTTCTTTTTAGCCATCACAAATTGTGCTCATGCTAAACACCAAGGACGTAACAAAACATGGCATAGATTAGGGTTAGGTATCTGTTTATTAACCCTCGGCGCGCATGTTAACCCTCGGTGTGCATGCGCAGCGAGGGTTACAGTAATTGGTTTGTCTGTCTGTGTGTCTGTGTGTCGACGCTTATTCTGGCACTACAGGCTACAAGGTGGCCCCATTAGCGATACCAGCAGCTTCAGAACTACGTGAGCCTGAAAAATAAACGGGTGATTTTCCTGAAACTACTGCATTCGAGAGATACGCCGTGAAAACAAGTGAAAAAACCAATATGCATAATCGCACTGGGCTTACCGCGACCTGATCTGCTCGCTCTGTGTGCCTTGGGGGTTCAGGAAGTCACAACGAATGCCATGTATCAACTCCCGCATGCTATCTACTACTGTAGCTAGCCCGTGTCAGACTCTCAACGAGCTACTAGCGGGAGACCACAAGTAAATGCATACAAATAGCCCAGCCCTTCAAATAGCAGTATCGCGCATGCGCAGTTCGCCGAGGGTTTGCACTTTAGTGCTTTTCATTATTGGTTTTCATTATTGTGGTAGCTACATAAGATGGGAGAGATTTGTGAAAAACGCCCGTACACTCGGTTTGTTGACTTTAACAGGTACCTGAGTCCAGCGAAGGAGGGAGACATAATAGAGATCGACGCCGAGTGTCTCAAGGTCGGGAAGACGTTGGCCTTTGCCACAGTCGACATCCGCAACAAGTCCAACGGAGACAGACTGGTAGCTCAGGGGAGGCACACAAAACATATTGCACAACAATCATGATCAGTATCCTATATCAATGTAATGTGGTTTTGTGTTTTGAGATGTTTTTAAGTCTTTCTTCCTGATGTTCTCCCTGAGGCAGGTGACTTGGCATGCGGCGACTGTTTCCCTCTCTTGCTAGAAGGGGGACTGGAGCCAGCAGCCTGGGGCTGGGCCTGCCCGACCGCCATGCTCTCTGCTCTCATTCCCACTGTCCCCTCCTGCTGGGACATCTCGTAGCCCAGAGACCCCAGAAACTGCCTTGTCCTGGCATCCACTAGGCTGGCTGTCATGTCTCGCAACTCACTCTCTGTGATACCCGCCGAAATCTTGCTTTGAAGGGTCATGAAAATCTCTTCCTCCATCTTTGCCATCTCACTCTTCTCTTTTTCCACATATTCCTGTCTCTCGTTTCGCAAAAGTCTTTTGTTGAGGGCGTGTTGTTCTTCAATCTTTCTAATCTTCTCCTTCTCGTGTTTCGAGTGTTCCACGGTCGCGCTCTGATAGGTATACTGAAGATCCCTCTCTCCTCAATAGACTTGCTCGGATTCACGATCTCCAAGCCGATTGCAAGCGCACAGATTCGCCCGACTTTGAGGTGATTTCATTGTAAAATATTACTTAGTTAATCTGAGACATACTATAGCAAGTAATACGTGCAATGTACCCCTGGAAGGTCATAATTATAATGGTACTGTATGCCACACCATTACTAGGTTTATGGCAGCATAGGAGGTAACACTGTGCCAGGGCTGTGGGCTGTGGGGTGTTGGGGTTTCTTTTATGTTTCCTGTGGTCTGGCCTGCAATCTGCACATGGGCATTTACCAATTATTATGTATTAATGAACTAGGAGTATAAATGAAATACACCTTTCAGTTTAAAGTGTAGGTGTGTATAATCTCATAGACACAACACCAAACCGTAATAGTATCTCACACCTGGATGGAGAGCCTTTGGGATAGACGGTGTTCAGTGGCTAGATTCAATGAGTTAGACCATAGTTGTGGTCTCCATTGCATAATAATACACTATCCGTGGCTTTTCTTCTAATGCCTCACTAGGAAACACTGCAGAATGTGTGTGTAGTAAGAAGCTCATTTTTCAGGCCGTAAAAGCAATCTTTCAACTTCCCTGACAACAAACACACTGTATGTTATTTCTCTATGCAGTGGAACTCCTCTAATCCAGACACCAATGGGACGGAAGAAAGTGTCCATATTAGTGAGGTGTCCTGAGCATTATACAGTGGAACCTCTCTAATACAGACACCAATGGGACGGAAGAAAGTGTCCATATTAGTGAGGTGTCCTGAGCATTATACAGTGGAACTCCACTAATACAGACACCAATGGGACGGAAGAAAGTGTCCATATTAGTGAGGTGTCCTGAGCATTATACAGTGGAACTCCACTAATACAGACACCAATGGGACGGAAGAAAGTGTCCATATTAGTGAGGTGTCCTGAGCATTATACAGTGGAACTCCACTAATACAGACACCAATGGGACGGAAGAAAGTGTCCATATTAGTGAGGTGTCCTGAGCATTATACAGTGGAACTCCACTAATACAGACACCAATGGGACGGAAGAAAGTGTCCATATTAGTGAGGTGTCCTGAGCATTATACAGTGGAACTCCTCTAATACAGACACCAATGGGACGGAAGAAAGTGTCCATATTAGTGAGGTGTCCTGAGCATTATACAGTGGAACTCCTCTAATACAGACACCAATGGGACAGAAGAAAGTGTCCATATTAGTGAGGTGTCCCATAATTATTGCACGCAAGAAACTGTTCTTGTGGAGAGAAAAGGCGTTCTTATTAGATAGGTGTCCTCGTTTCAGGGTGTCCTTAGGAGAGAGGTTCCACTGTTGATACTATTCACTTTGTGAGCAAAAGAGCTGAAGCCAAACACGAAGGAGCTAGTTTCAAGTCACCAAACATTGTGTTTGTCTACCAAATTACTCTCTTATTGACCCGAAGCCACGCACACTATAGCTACAGTTCAACGAAGCTGTAAGCACAAATGACTGATGAAAAGGCGAAGAATGTTAACGTAGCTAAACACCCTTGTAGATTGATGTGTGTGTGTGTGAAGCAATGATTCCATGGGTGGGAGTTAAACCATGTCAAAAGCAAGTTGGCACAACAAGATTGACGCACAGTTTTAGGGCATTACATAATACTGCCGTAATGTGCTAGTCAGCATTTTCCATTGCCCCTTACTCCGTTCGTGAGTAACCAGTAACAATGCTATCCATTTGACTTTTTTTTTTGTTTTTTACACCAAAATAGGCCAGAAATTCGACGGGGGACATTCAGATAGCGCTGACCTATCTGCCTGACACGGAAGTGGTAGAAGGAGTTGTTCTGAGAGTCACCAATCTAAGGCAGCACTTGATCTCTATGCACCCACCACGTGAGTCATATAACTGCGAAGATTATTTCCGGTTAATATAATAGCGAGAATCTTTTGAGGAAGAAAATTCGGTAGTTAAGTGTGAATTTCATGGATTGCTGGTATCTAATGTCCCCTCCTACACACATTCGCAGATGGTTGATAATTAACTATAAATACGTTTTACTCAAAAGCTGGTATGGTAGTGAAAAAAATTTGGAAACCTCTTTTTCAGCTAGTGTCCCACGCTCACATCCTACTATTAACACGGGGAATTAATAGTATTAAAAACCTTTTGCAATTTTACACTGCCATATTCTCATTCTCAGAAAATGCCATGTAACTTGATCTCATAAGGCGTCCAACTTTACCTCTTGATGTATGTGTAGGTCCATACGTCAACATATATCTGATGCACGATGGGAAACGCTATGCCAAATGGAAATCATCCGTCCACTACGACACAGCGGTCCAGGTTTTCAACGAGACTTTTCAGTTCAACGTCTCGAAAATGGACGTGGCCCTCGTCGAGCTCTGCATACACGTCAAGGAGTACCACAGGTAGTACTTGGTATATAGGGATGGGGATTGTACCTAGCACCATAGATTTTTTTAAAGACGTGCCTAGAGGTGATTTACATGATGATACCATTGTGGGTAGCTGAGTATAAATAGACACTTCTGCAATTTTATAGCGCATATATTCATGAGGAGCCGAAAGGCAGAAAATTCAAGGCATTTGAGTTCACTTAACCGTGCTGTTCTATTATTATGTACTTTCGAGCAACCAAAAGTACTTTGGCATATGTAGCACTTCAAAGTGATGTAATTTAAAACTGGTATTGTATTTCGGACCACGTGTTCCACAGGAATGCACGTAATTATTGTGCTAATTATTTCTCTCGCAGGACTCACCTCAACAATCTGCTGGGTGTGGTTGGGATTGGCTTGACTGCTAAAGGAGCAGGTAGTATACTCTATGAGAATTAATCAGCAATGCCAAGATTTCTACTGAAATTACAGTACTGCTAATAAACCCCCAATTATGTACTCATTAAGGCAATTATAAGGCCACTAGTTACGGTTTGCTGTTCACCACTAAACACGTGCACATATTTAACCTTCTCGGCCACAAACTTTGCAAAAAAAAGTTCCACAAGGTTTATGGCAGTATTATTTTTTGCCACTAGTATTAATTTTGTTTGCTGCTCATCAAAAAAAATGCTGGTAGTTAAGTATTGAAGCCCTCAACTGTGCGCACTGCATGAATGGCTGTGTTATCTACCAGGCCCGTAGCAGGATCTTTAGAAGTAGTCAGGCCAGGAAGTAGGTGTGATTAATACAGTGCAGTGTGCGCATGCGCAGCGCTAAGCGGCCGGCTGGCCGTCGATGACGCTATAGAAGTGCGAGTGCGTGTTCGCTGGATGACGGTATGGAGCATAGCCACACTACGTAGCACAAATGTAACCTTTCAATAAGGATTATGATATAGCTGTGAAGTATTGACCGTTCACTATTGATAAATAGAGTGAGGTATATACTGAGTAGCAATTGAAAGGAAAGGGAAAACTTGAAGCCTTTTTAGTAAGGATGTGTGCAGTGCCTTCAAAGGAAGAAGAATAAGACGACTACCTCCTGAATGCCTATACGTACACACTTCTATATAGTGTCTGTGGAAGCCTGCCTGGTTGGTAGTCACCTTCCTGATGTGTATGGGTTTGTTGTTGCTCATTGGCTAACTATGCATGCAAAACATCCTCTGTAGGTGCACTGATGATATCTGATTTAGTTGAAATTCCAGAGTGCCTTGGTATATATTTGTATTGTTTAGCGACGGTATTTGCTCCTGCATTTTTAACCCCCTCCCTCCCTCCTCTCTTTTGCTTTCCATTTTCCTGTTTAACACTTCTCGTGTCCCTCCCTACTTCTTTCCTTCATTCTCTCTCTCCCACCTTCCCCCTAATACCTCTACAGGTAAAATTCACTGGCGAGAAGTAATAAACTCTCCAAGACACCAAATCAGTCACTGGCACTCTGTAGTACCCCTGGAAGGAACACACTTACATCCACCTGCTACCACACCCATTATCAGAACATAGTTATAATAATTATTAATGTGACCTCGGAATTTTGCGCATGCGTAAAAATATGGGCGTGGTCTGTACACGCGCGCGCCGGGGACACTACGCATGCGCATAAAGACAAGTGACGTAATGAATCGCTCATAAACCTGCAGCGACCGCGAGGGGACGGCAGTTTTTCACAGGCGGAGCTGCTTTTTGCAGAGATCGTGTGGAGACGGGGAAAACCTACAAGGACAGCGTGTTTGTTGGAGACCGTGTTGACCGCCGTTTATGGTGACCGTAGGAGATCGGTATGGGCTGTATAATTATAGTCGTAGAAGTGTAGCTGGCGCCGCCGTGGTAGTGTGCGGTGGTGTATAATGCTTCAGTTCACGATGAAGTCAGGTATCTGCTAGTCCGTGCCGTCCGCTACACGCGGCTCTCGTGTAGAGATAGCCCTACTGCTACATCATCCTGCGGTTTCGAAGGGTGGTGAAGAAACGCCCATATAAACATGCACAAACGCTGCATGCATTGGAATGTTGTCGCTCCACATCCCGGAACGCTCTCTTGGTTTTCACTCTGGCGACGTTTCGTTTCCTTTTCCTTTTCACAGGAACACGCCGCTGGTGATCGATAGACTGTGGGTTTTACTCGGACATGTCGTCAACTGCCAAGGAGAAGTGGGGATTCTCCAGTCAGCCTGTCCACATGCAGGTGCCAAAGTACCCACTGGAACAGCAGCAAGAAGAAGAACACAAGTAAGCCCCAAATTGTCCCATGTGCACACTATGAACCGTAAATGCGCATTATATTTTGCAGTTGGTTTTTTAATGCACACTGCGTCGAAATCAGTGATTCATACATTAATTAATTGGTTGTTTTTTCGCTTCCACAAATATATGAAATTACGTGTGTTGAAAACCGCCTCTCTATAAGTTTTGTTTAGACGAGATTAGCGCAGAATGACGTATTGAAAGTGCATTCTTAAAGGTAAATCGCCATTTGTATATAGTGCCGTGTCGTTTTAAGCTATATATACTTTAGTATAATATACAGTACAATTCTTAGCTCAATTATGCATGCACGCATCTCTTATTGAACTAAAGTGAAAGAACTGACACTATTCAGCTAAGAAATACGACACAATCCGTTATAATGGCAAATGCTAGCGAGTGAAAGTGTTGCTGACGAGAACGGCTGGGGTGTATGCTTTTTACAGTAATGAGGCAGTGGGTAAACTTCAATTTGGAGCCCTTTTATCATCGTAACAGATCACATCCTTGGCCCTCATCCGGAGGAAGTTCTGTCACACGCGTGGCACGCTGTCGTTTTGCATTTAGTTTTAGTTCAAGTTCTCATCAGAATGGAGGGAGTCTGTTCTACCTCAGGGGCCAGCCAACTATCCAAATTTTCAACAAAGACGACAGGATGTTTTCAACAGGAGTATTATGCTCTCTGGACATGCACACACACACACACACACACGCACAAACACACGCACAAACACGTAGTATGTTTTTCTGCCTAACAGGCAGTGACAAACTGTTTTTAATTCCGAGTCGTGTATTTCCTACTTCGTGTAGCCACAACACCCTGTTTTGCGGGACTCTTAATGTGCCACGTTGTATTAATCTTCATCACAAGTTCCGAAAGGCCTGCATAAATCAACCTGCTCAGCCCACTCTCGGTTGTGCCGTTGGAGAACACTTTTTGTCATTTTTTTGCACTATCAAAGAATTCGCTGTATCGTGTTAGCACAATCGAGAGTTCCCTTGGGTTGCGAAAAACTTTCAACAGGAGTATTATGCTCTCTGAACACACACACACACACACACACACACAAACATGAAATTATAGTTCATAGCATACATGCACACACACACACACACACAAACACGTAGTATGTTTTTCTGCCGAACGGGCAGTGACAAACTGTTTTTAATTCCGAGTCGTGTATTTCCTACTTCGTGTAGCCACAACACCCTGTTTTGCGGGACTCTTAATGTGCCACGTTGTATTAATCTTCATCACAAGTTCCGAAAGGCCTGCATAAAATCAACCTGCTCAGCCCACTCTCGGTTGCACTGTTGGAGAACACCTTGTCATTTTTGTTGCACTAGCAAAGTATTCGCTGTATCGTGTTAGCACAATCGAGAATTCCCTTGGGTTCCGAAAAAATTTGTTTTTTTGGATGATTACAAGATTTCACGTGCTCTATTCCCACCCACCTCCTAAGCATCTCATTTTCAATGAATTTGCTGTAGGCACGAACATTAAATTTGCTGTAGGCACGAACATTAAAGGAGTGAGTGAAATACTAGTGATTGTTGTTTGCTCTGAGCCTGTTATCTTACACGTGGACAGCGGAGCAGGTCTTGAAATTAAGCCAGGCTCTGGGACGCCAGGTTGTTAACCGTTCCTGTTGCAGCGTTTTTTATACTGGGTAGGGGGTGCAAACCGGTTCTTAGGAGGGGGGAAAACTGGTTTTTAGAGAAGTATAATAATATTATTATGAAAGGGCAAACCGGTTTTTAGAAGTATAGGTGGTAGCTATTATCGCCTGATATGATCCATAGTTTTGAGGGAGGCAAAGTCACGTATTTTCAGGGGGGATATTCCCCCCCCCCTCTCCTAGAAAAGTACCTGGATTGTTACCTTCTGTCACTACATGGACTGTGTTTCCGATCAATTTTCAGACGTTGCTGTGCTGCTACAACAACCCCATCCCCTGAACCAATAGGAGCATTTAGTAATAGTCAGACTCACAACTTATATTCAATATTCTTGGAGCGACGGGAAAGTGTCGTAAAGTGTACAGTTTCTCGTGTGTGTTGTGAGACACGGTCATGTGTAATACCTACTGCTTTGGAGAGATCAAAAATTTAGACTTTGTGAGGAGTTCCACTGTATAATGCTCAGGACACCTCACTAATACTTTCTTCTGTCCCATTGGTGTCTGGATTAGAGGAGTTCCACTGTATAATGCTCAGGACACCTCACTAACATGGACACTTTCTTCCGTCCCATTGGTGTCTGGATTAGAGTGGTTCCACTGTATAATGCTCAGGACACCTCACTAATATGGACACTTTCTCCTGTCCCATTGGTGTCTGGATTAGAGGAGTTCCACTGTATAATGCTCAGGACACCTCACTAATATGGACACTTTCTTCTGTCCCATTGGTGTCTGTATTAGAGGAGTTCCACTGTATAATGCTCAGGACACCTCACTAATACTTTCTTCCGTCCCATTGGTGTCTGTATTAGAGGAGTTCCACTGTATAATGCTCAGGACACCTCACTAACATGGACACTTTCTTCCGTCCCATTGGTGTCTGGATTAGAGGAGTTCCACTGTATAATGCTCAGGACACCTCACTAATATGGACACTTTCTTCTGTCCCATTGGTGTATATACCAATTAGAGTTATAGATATGTATGCAGTTACGGTGCGTTCACCAGTTTTGTCCATGAAGCAGATGGTGTTCACAGTGCAGATGTTCCACTGTAAACAGGAAAAAGACACGCTATTGCTGGTTTACACCACACACCAATAAAAAAAATTACATGTCTTGCTATAAACTTTATGTCACCCCAGATGAACTGTAAAATTGAGTTTACATCTTGTACGGATATGTACATGCGATGAAATAACATCTTATAAACTAGTATGTGGGTAGGTTGGGGAGGGTCAGTATAAATATTTTTCGAAAGATTTTAGTTTTTTTTTTTTTTTTGTCAGATGGGAGATTTTTTTTTTTTTTTTTATATCTTTTTGTCTGTTTTCGCAGCTGCGTGCGAGAGTTTTGTTTCTTCTAAAACTAGTAACAACGAGCCACCTGCGGT